GAATAGTACGCTTGTCTACGAGATTCTGTAAATCTGTACATTATAACTACATATCTATATTTTTTCGAATGCTTAGTTTTAAAAAACGATAAGAAGAAGAATTTAGATAATTATTAAAATATAATGATTGAATTAAATAATGGCGCGATTGCTGAAATCCAATCAGCAGGATCAATTACAAACAAATAAGACAAGAAATAAGATAAAAATATAAAAACCGTCAAACACACATAATGCCACAATTTATAATTCACACCTTAATTTTTGTCATCTGTCTTTTTTTTCTAATTCACGATTGATAGAATTCTATGAAACGCGAGTTGGTTGGTCGATTCGGCAATGCGACACGTGACGCGCGATACGAGTAGAGACTTGCGTAATATGTTTATTACGGACGGCGCGTTATCGCCATCTCGGCGCGCTCTATAATAAATTAACGCTATTACGCACGGCTTTATCCGAGCGTGATGGGGCAACCAGTTTGCCGACCGCATAAGAAATGTGAGCGCGCCCATAAAGAGACGCGTGTAAACGCACTGTCGAATAATTACTGGTTGCGCCGTCAGAAGGCACGCGTCGGTATTCTTCCCCGTGTCCATCTGTCAGGCATCTCCATTGTCGATTTATGTATGGCATTTCTCTCATAAATTTTTATTGAGCCACTCAAGTATAGGGTATACACCCTAAATTTACCGCGAGGCGGAGAATGAGATGCATAAATAAAATTGAAAAATATGAATAATTTCCAAGATACACACATTGTATTTTATCGAGAGAAATTGAAGTAATAATTTATTTACGATGCGCATAAATTTAAATAAAAAAAGAGTGAGGTATGTAATTTCGAGAATTATATCGATAGTTAATGTTAAGAAGTGCAAATAGAATAAAATTTATTCCTTAATCTATTGCAAGTGGCTTTTACACAAGAAACTTTATCGAGATTTAGATTTGGTATTGAATATTAGCTAGTCAAGTGTCAAATATAGTGAAATTATTGCTCTAAAGATGAAATTTTATGACATTATTAGTGCCCAGTTTTGAATGCAATTTTGCATTCTGATTCTAATATTTCAAATAACTATGTATTATTTTATAAATTATTGAGTTTATTTTTACAACATCTTATGAATACAATAAATGTATTTTCTTTCTTCTTCTTTTACAAACTATTTGATTATCAATTAAAATAAAATTTAAATATTGGGATATAAATGAAAAGCTACTGCATTCGTCGGAAAACGCGATAGAGACAATGCATTTTTATCGATAGTTTGATTCAGAGACATCAACGCGTGGTGATGCGCACTTTCGTACACCTAAGTAGTAATGATCCGCAATGTCTGGTCGCTCGTCTGATTAATCCCGGCCCTCACTACTTGGAATAAGCGTTAGACACTTCAGAGAGCCTCCCTTTCCTGCCGAGCCGAATGCTCGCGGTCGATCTAACTTTAGCGAAAGTTCACGTATCACAAAATATACCTACGGACAGTACCTGTTGTCGGAGGCGTGGCTCTCCCCACCGGGCGTTATACCCGATGAAGAGAAAGAAAGGAAATCCACGGCGGGAGGATCTTTCCTGGATGCCCTGGTGGGGCACGAGAAGCGAAGAAAGGCTCTTCGAACGCAGGAGCCTTTTGTGAAAGGTAGCAGAAGCATCTCAATGTCGCGAGGGTGCACGTGCGAAGGATGTAGCTGTACTGAATGTAACTGTGCATCACGAATTCGTCGCATACGTCTGAACTGAGATAGCTTTGTTGCAATCGCTTTGGTTTTTAATTTTAAATTATTTTATCTTCAACATATATATAGCTCTTTCTGCAATTTTTCCGCAAGCTTATTTCGCACTTCAAATTATTTCAAAAAACATGCAAGGCAAGTGTAATCCGTTATTCACATGATGAATTGATACAACAAAAATTAGAATAAATTAAAATTTTTTATGACTCATAAAAATATGCATGAAATCTGTAAAAGTTGCGATAGCAACTCCTTGATGCAAAAGTGCCAGTACAATTTTCATCAATAAGAGTTACGATATTTATAAGGATATTTTCTTATTAAGCCTAATTTGCTTCTCTATGCATAAATTTAATTTCACATTACTATTCATTCTATATACAGAACCGCATCCAAAGATATGACTCCCAATCTCTGCTTACTCACTTTGTCGTTTATCAATTTATTGTCCTGATTATGAAATAAATTTTTCACACAGTCCTTAAACTGTTAAGTCTAAATTTACTTAACAGCTAGAAATGTTGCATGTAAAATTCAAGAAAAGCAGGTTCTATTAAACCGTCACCTACTGCGGAGATAAAACTTCCAATAAGTAACTGAATTCATATTTTTAAATTCGAATCCGCGAATGGCTAATCGTCCCGAGGTCGATATCGCGGTCAACTCGTGATGCACGCGAGTATTTATCGGCGCGCCGCTAGATCGGCGCGCATGTAAAAGATCGGCGGCGATAGCGGCGAAGGAAATGAATGGAGAAATCACGGGGCCGTTGACTTGGAGGCATGGCGCCTCGTAAACATCGCCGAAGGCTCACGTACACGCGCGTGTATGCACCGGGCATCGAGAGAAAAAAAAGAAAGAAAGAATGAAGAGGAAAGAAGGCTTGGGAGGGACAAGGAGGCATAGGGAGCGGGGAAGGAGGGAAAGAAGCGCGCCGAAGACGGCGGATTGCGAACGGGAGAATGGGAGCTTTCGAAACGAGGTGTAAAGGTACCACCGGGTCCCGTGGTATACTTTGCCGTGAAATTATCGTCCCGCTCAACTCGGCACGGCACGGCACAGCACCGCCCGGCTCCGCTCAGCTCGGATCGCTGCCGCCGCCGCCGCCGACGACGGAATTTGTGGCCTTGCCGGCGAATTTTCAGTCGGCGGGCGAAACTTACGGCCGTTCGAGTAACCCTGTTTTCGTCTGGAAACAAAGGCCGCGCCGCACAAATCAAGGGACAGCCTCCGCGGCGAACGGTAATTTAATCCCGACTTCCGATATTCCCGATGTACATCGACGGAACACGCCAAGCTCGAGCGTTTTGATTTCTGCATGAGATTAGAGGAACGAAGAAGCCCGGCGAGAGGCGGGAGACGTTTCCGCGATACTCTCTTATCTATCATGTATTATGTCCGCGACAGTCCGTATATCTCGAGTAACGGGGCGACTCGGAGACTCGTGTGCAGAGGACCCGCTATCAAATGTCGCGCCGCGATCGGTAACGCTCGATCGTAAATCGAAAATCGTAACGGCACTTGGATCTAGAGTCCTCGTTATCGCGAGAACGGGACCATTCGGAGAGTAGGCTGACCAGCTCTATTCTATTCTCCTTGATGGTTATTCATACCTTGGCGAAACACGCGATTTTCTCTATCTTGACAATAATGTGCGACATCGCAATGAATTCCGACAAAAATTGCGCGAATGCATTTGTACAGAAGGCGTCATTAATGCCTTCCTGAAGCATAGTACATGTAACGTGCACTATAGAAATCCCAAGAACACAGCTAGGAAGGCATTAATGACGCCTACTATACATTGCGTAATTAATTATTATAATCGCATGCTAGGCGATATTAAAGTAATGATTCACACGTTCTTTCTGCAATGTTTCAACATTCGACATTTTATCGGTACTTTATCATTACCCAAAACAAAAATGATTTTAATATAATAGTCGGTGTATCTCTTCGGATTAAAGTAACAAATTAAAATACGAAGTTCTTCGCGCATTTATATTTATTTCAAGCCTTGGTAGGTATCAAAAGATCCGCGACCGTGTAAGAAGTAAAAATTCGATGAAGTAGAATCGGAACATAAATTCCAGAACGAGAATCGCGCGTTACTTTCGAGCGTATTCTAACGACTTCACGGAAATGTCCCAAGTGCTGTTAGAATGGCGTTGGCGAGCAAATACGATGCGTTGCCGAAAGAAATTTATTTCTCGTTTACACTCCGAGCCGAGGGTATTGACGAAATGACTTTCACTGTGCGTACACGTCGGGTTACATATATGACGCGAAAGAAATGCTTGTAAGTCGAAGGTTTTAACGATCGGCAGAGACAACGAAGACGCGACGGACGCGACCCGGAAGCTCTCTCTAAATCCTGCGAGGGCCGACTTGCTGAGTCGACCTCGTTCCCTTTTCCCGAGACGGTCGAGATGTTTTAGCTTCTTTTTTTTTTGTGAATCCTAAAACACCACCGAACGGCAGATATGTTGTTCAACTGTTAGTTAGTAGGTTAGTCGGTCCATAGCGAATCTTCGTTCGTTAGAGGAACCGTTACATCCTACAACGACAGTAGTGCCCTTTCATTATGACCGCCTCGCTCCATTGTTACCTGCTGATGAGTCATGCTCACATGCATACAATGCGATGCTGTACGCACTGTGGGAGAGCTTATATCTTCAAAGATTATTTAAATTGTAGGTCGAACGCGATTAGCAAAACTTTTTATAAGAACATTTTAATGGCCTTTATAAGCATTTATGTATACATTGTTAAATTCGTAGTGTCGTATGTTATAATATGTCGTTAATTTAACTAAAACAATGGAGCTAAAGTAATATCTACTGTTTTGTGTTAAAATAAGAAATTTCGACACACGTGGTGGTAATTAAAAATAAAATGTTGTTTAACTAAAGGTATTGGTTTAAATTTCAACATTTAATATTTAATAATGTAAGTTCATGATTCTTCTACTTATTCGAAATAAGCAGGATAATTGAAACAAATTGAGTAAGATTTACTATATCTTATCCATTACATCGATTTATAAAATGCTATACTCCCTAAGCTTTTTGTAGATTTGTAGTCAAAAATTTTAACCCGTTGCCTGCAAATGTTAGACCTTCCCTTTTACATTTTTATTTCAATCAGCTGTTTGATTTCAATTTTATATAATTTGTCCTGCGATCTTTATAAATTTATTACACTTTTCTTTTATTTCTGTGGCGAATTTATTCTTATAATAAGAAAAGTATTTCACTCACCGTATCCCTGCATCATTCCGTGCGTCAAGTACAACGGAGCCCGGCCGGCAAACGCATCCTTGGCAAAGGTCTGCCTTACCAGCTGTGGATCCGATAATAATACTGTGTACACAGAGCCCATTCGTAGCCCACAAATCGGGCCATACTTCCTTGCCAGTTCCGTCAGCGACACATGGGGACGTACGGGATCTATCCATGGTAGATAACCGAACAACGGAACGCCCGGTGGTCCCGGTGGAAGTCGAAGTGACTTGCGATTTTTACAAAAGAAGACGTAGATAAGAAGCACGAGCGATACGCCCAGAATAATAAGGGCTATCATTGTGATCCCGTTTCAGCGGAAGCAGAAATGCTGCAACGATGCTGCGTCGCCTGCAAATGAAAGATGATGCTTTCGAGCGCGACACGAAATGTATTTTTTATTTTTAGCAGAAAAAGAATTGCAACGTTATCTCGTTGCGAGATAATTTTTACGCAGATGCAGCCGTGCGTGAAACAACGGCATGGACCGTTTTCGTAATGAATAATGACTTTATAATCGAGTCGTTTGGATCGTCACCGCGTTCCGTGAAAGATCCTCTCGCGCGAGATACGCGCGCGAGTCACGCGGATGTAGTAAATTACGCGAATGTGCCTCCCGACGATCCCTCGGTGATCGTGAACGTTCGTAATCGAGGGAACGCGATTTCAGCTTCCAGGAATGGCACAACGGCAGAAGCGGAGTGATATAAACACAACCTTTCTCTGCGCCTACGGCGAGCGCACGCACTCGTGTAAAGTTATCTCATTAGTGAGGCACGTGCACGTACACAATCGCCGAGAGGATAAGGAACGATTCCGTGCTGCGACTACGCGATATAGGCCGACACGTGGTCAAACACGTGCCGATGAGCCGGCGATGAATCGAGGAAGCTTACTTTCGATGGCGCGCCCGCGCCGGCGAGATTTTTATAGCCGTCAACCATCGGTTCGGTTCGCAAATGCTTAGCGGTTACGGCATTTCGTATTTTTATCCAATCCACTACGTATAAAGTTGACCCTTTCACGTCTAATGGAAAATAAATGTTTCCAGTTTCCCGGATAAAATAGTAGAGATTCTCCGACAACCATGAGAACGCTGCGCGCTTTGTTTGTGATTGATATAAATTATCTTGACTTAATAATAATTTGAATGCAGCAAATGTATTTAACCATGTAAAGAAAGAAATATATATGGATTTAAATAATAATTACTTAATAATAATATATATATATATGTAGCAAATTCATAAAACAATTTTAGTCGCATATTAAGCTGCGCGTGAACCTTTATAGTACAACAATCTTAAATACAACTTATATATGAGAGGGTACCAAAAAGTTTCTGGAATTATTTAAAAAAAAAATTTTTTTAAGTGTATTTACAGGTCTGAAACTTTAATCCCCTTTGAAGTACTCCACAAGTGGGAGAGGTGCTTGGATTGTTGTATTGAGTCACATAGAGAGTAGCCTAGCAATCGAACGTATTGGATCTTACTTTTAGAACCAATAAATTCAAATGGGTGATGAACGTGTCCAATGTGATTACTTGGCATTGAAGAAGAATAATATCTTTACAAAAGGCGTTTATCGCACGAGTTCTTAGTCCCTGCGGTCACTTCATGTTGGTCCCTAAGGAATTCCTTTCAGCAACAAATTCAAAGGAATTCCTTTGAACATTAAATTTGATTTTAGTTTAGAGACCATGATAAAGTCCGCAGGGACTAAAAACTCATGCGATGAGCGTCTTTTGTAAAGATATATTTCTTCTTCAACGTAAAATACTTTTCTTGATCTAACGTTTAATTTAAATTTTATTTTGAAACGTCACAATAGTTTTTAGAATATAATAGTAATTCGAAAATATGACTATTATATTTATACCTGTTCATTCTTATGTAATAGAAATTGGATAGTTATAAAAAAGATTCCTATTAAAATATTAAATTTATAACTAAATCTATAAAAATCTTTGTAACTGAAAGTTATGTTCATTAACTCATTATTTAAATATTAAAGGAATTAAAAATAACAAAACCCGTTTTCAAATATCAAAATTAAAATTCAAATTGACAGACGTGGTAAAATTAGATATACTTACATTCAACACTTGTTATTCTAATATTAAAGTTTGTAAAGCTTTAATAATTTTTGAGGTTATAATGCATTTTATACACAAATCACACAAATCTGACTTCTGAGTAAGTTATAATTTAAAAACATATGTATCCTCAGCGTATAACAATTATATAAAACGTTAGACTCGGGAAGCAAGCATAACGTTGGGAGCGAAACTTACCGAATCTGCTAGCACCGAAATCCTGCCACAGAAGCCTGCTACAGCAGCCACGATGATGTCCGTGGTCCACGCCCGCTTGAATAATATTATAACTGGTTGAGCGGGAATTACGAAACTCGAATCTGTAGCAAGGAAAAAAGGATATGCGGCGATTTTACATGAAGAAATGTACAGATAATTATTATTTACGTGATAAATATCGATTGAGATAAATTCCACAATGTAGATATACATACAACTGTTGTTTTTTTTCTTTTCGGAAGGAATACGTTGTAGGAAAGACTATTCGATGTAACATCGACCACAGTGTCGAGCTAAGTGGCGTTGCCAAGCAGTTGACGAAAGTGATCCCCGGATCGTTTGACTACCAAATGACAACTTCTCCTTGCTGCGACAGCAAAGATTTGTTCCGCGATATTCGACGACATTAGAGTAGAGATCACGTTTTCGTACGTATTAAAACTTGAGATCGAAAACTCGTAATTAAATTGAACGATATTTAATATTTTCTTAACCATTTTATCTGAACAATTACTAAGATATTTAGAGACGTCACAATATTTCACATGAAGCGATCAAGAAATCTCTTATGATATTGACATATTATAATGACATCGACATATCATGGAAGATGCTTGTGTCGTAATATTATTTATATTTTAAAATTGATTTTATATGTATTATGAATTATTAAACGTACAATGTAGCAAGAGTAAAAGTAAAATTTTGATACAGAATATACTTCAAAATTCTGTATTCGCGGCGCCTATGCGTTCGGAAGTTTTCAATGCCTTGGAAATATTCTGCATTCATGACGCCTATGCGTTCGGAAGTTTTCGGTGCCTTGGAAATATCGGAAATGTTCTGCACAGAATGACACTTTTCGGACAGACCCTAAAGAAGATTAGCTAGACAAAAAGTTCAGTCAAACAGGTGTGCTTTGCTTTGGCTTTTAGGAACCAATTAAATAATCTGTTTTGTTACAAATGTTCGCGCTCATAATTTACGATTATTTGAAAAATATCTTATTGTTAGTACTAATTGCAGGCAGTTTATTGACACTCCAATGTCCACCAATCCATTTTAATCTCGGTTTAACTTACTTTTATTTTTTTCTAATTCTTATTGACAGAACTAGAAAAATATAAAAATTAATTTAAACCGTGATCAAAGTTGATCTACATTGGTAGAAATGGACATAAGAGTGAAATTCTATTAAATATTGCGTTTTTCTATATTTATATAGGTACATATTTATCATGGATAAATAAAAGCTTCATGTAACCAAGTTTCTCATAAGTTGCATTTATGGTCATGAGAGAACATTATGAATGTATTCCTAATACTTTTGTGCAAACGTAGACGCACACAAATTTACCAACGACCCATTGCCCTTACACACACGACTGGCCTTCTCGGCTCACCTTACGAGCTCGTCTGTATGTGCACTCACCTCCGCTCACGTGAGAGCTATCGCTCGCCTCCGCCAATCACGTGCGAGTCGATCGTGCAGGCCGAATTCAATTTATTTGATACGTGCCCAAACGCTCGAGTTAAAGTGAGGAAAAAAAAAGCAGAGGAAGAGCTCAATTTCCTATCGATCTACTGGCCCCTTGAAGAAGTTTGGAAGATACATTTCGACCGCCGAAGCATACTTCTCGATTTCTTGGAAAGCTATATTGGAAAGATGGTGAGAAACGGTTGAATCTTTTGATACCAATACCCGAGACTCCCGAGAGTACTATTCCATTGGTCGTATGGCATATTCAAACGTGCTGATTGGCTACAGGATAGAAAATTTCTGAAGACTCGAAAACTTCGAATCGAGTCGAGACTCAAAGACTTGTCGCTAACCGGAAAACACAGTATCGATGTATACAACAGATCTTTTTATGTACAAAAATGCTGGAAATTATATAAAATATTCTATTTTTTGAAACTCGTAATAATATTTGATTTTATCTTCATTTTTATCTTACAAAATCAACATAATCTGTTCGATAGAAAATTAAAAATAATTTCTTTTTTTTTCTTTTAATTTAAGATTAAAAATTTACAATGAATAGCAATGACTTTCTTTGACGTTTGAAGCGCGATAAGATGAAAAGTGCGCCTTCAAATCGTTCTGAAGAAAGTGCGATGAGCCGCTGAGCGATCGGTGGACGCGCAAGCCGTCCTCGGCGCGTGCAGAATCTGCTCGCGCGCTACAGATAAATCATGCATTCGCAAACGTACGCGTACGCACAACGAAGGTACGCTACATGAAGAGGCTGCTATATGCTCGGTGAAGCCATAGCCATCGGACGCTGTAGCACACGACGGGCGCGCCACTTTCCCTCCCGTGAACCGAACTGGATTGTGCGGAGGAGGAAGAGAAGCAGGAGAGGAGCCACCGGAGAAGATGACGAAGAGGAGACGCGCGCATGAAGAGAAGGCCGAAACGTGATCGGCCGTGCACGTTGCACGACACGATAATCAAAACGCACTCCCGGGGCTCACCTACAGTGGCGGATCGCACGCACTCGAAAACGTGAGACACGTTGATGATAATTACGCGAACGCGCCGCGTAATTATCAACGATCGTACCGCCGGCGGTACCCGACCTCTCGTCATCGAGCCTTCTCGGAGGCATGCGCTTACCCGCTGATAATGCGTCTAATCCTTGCGTGACCGTGCACCCTTATGCCTACCAGATAACACGCGAGTGTTAAAACTAAAACACTGTATTAACTCGCCGAAGACTAATAATTTAATTTTCGGATTTCTAGGATTTGCACGCGCTGAGAAAAAAAGTAGAGAATTTACGCTCGATGGCTCTACAATTTCTTTTGGAGATCAGTTACTAAATAAATAGTTGCAATTGCGAGTAATTATCTCACTCTATATGTTTTAATTAATTATAAATTCGACATACAAAAAAAGACGTCGAATATTCGAAGTTTTTTTTCTCTAAAAAAAAAACGGAAGACTGTATGGGCTCGTTTTCTGCCCCAGAAATTAATTCGCCAGTTGTCTAAGAGAACGCACCTCAGCTACTTCCTCCGACAAAGAGGCTCTAAAACTCGCAATCGATAACTGCTACGGCACGATAGCGCGATCACGGAGAAAAAGGGAGGAAGAGAAGGAAGGGCGGACGTCGACTCCTTAATCGGCTCCTGCTCGGGTCTCGATGAATAAAACGAACGGCCGCTGATGAGAGATCAGTAGCCCCCGCAGTGGACCCCCGCGCGACTCCCTCTCCTTCTTCCGCGAGACCTCCTTGCACTGCGCCCGGTTCTGGTATGCGCCGCGGAACAGAGTACAAATGCACCCGACACTATCTGACGGGACGTGCAACGACCGACAAAGGTCATTCACGACGTTAAATCTGCATATCGTTTTTCGCGCCTCTTCGCCTCGCGCGTGTCTCGTTTCATTCTCCCTCGGCGCGTTGAATTGGCCAGGTAAGGAACGTTAGGATCGCACCGGGCGAGCACCGGGCAGACGGTTGAGGTGGACGCGACCGCGTCTGACTCGATTTTGAAATGCGGGAGATTCTTGCCAGGCGCCAGGAAGACGGTTCGACGATTGACCATTTTCGTGTCGTACCGTACGATCGAGCGAAAGTAACACGAGTATTCTCAACCGCCGTGTAAAAAACCGGTTCGACTTTTGGCATACACTGGAAACCAATTTAAATTTGATTAATCTCGAAACGTGAAAAACAATAAAATTTGTAAAATCAGCCTCGTTAAATTTGCAACACTAATTATAATTCTCTTTTCATATTCGTTGCTCCCTTCTATTTTATCTCTTCTTTCCTTTCCTTGACAGACTCTACTCTTCCTTTTACAATAGAAATAGAGTAGTCTTTTCTAGTGGTGACAACGCGGAAATTTGAAACGACATAATCAATTTACGAATTTCCTTTTTTTGGCGGAGACGAGAGAATAAGCTTGGGAAGTAGACGGTAGAACAGAAGGAAGAAGCGTGGAGAGTTCGTCGTCTCGTCTAATGCGGCTGATAACCTCGCCTAAACCCGGTCGTCGTACCGGGTAGAGACGGAGGAGAGGGATGACGAATAAAAGAAAGAGAATGGTGCAGAGCGAAATAGAGGAGGGAATGGGACAGGGAGGAGAGGCAACCGATCGTTTCGAAATTCCGACGCAGATCACCGCACCACCGATCACGGCAGATAAATTGTAGAGCTCAATAGAATTAATCGCGATGATCGATGTGCTCCAGATAATGGCTGCCCGCGTTAAGAGATCGTTAAGCCGCGCCGCCGAGTCGTTGAACCACTTTGAGTAATCGATGGTTTCATCCTCGGACGCATCCAGTCTGGTTTTCGCGAATCCGAGAAGCAAAAGATGCTGTTTATTATATAAACTTACATTCATTCTTTCATCTACGTATATTGTACTTAAAAAAATGCATCTACATGCATAAGTACTTCGGACTGATCGTAACGATTTTAACAAATCCCCCACTTGTTTATAGCAAAGTTGCGTATTCGGACTCTGGTATTCTTAAAGAATGCGCAAATCGTAATGTACTGTTTTTCCGTTTGAGAAATGAAAAAACGCGAAAAAATGGATTTCACGGTCAACTAAAAAAAAATTTTTTCTTTACGACTTTTCTTTCATCTTCTCATGATTTCGACATCTATATAATAGTCTCAACATCTTTCTTACAGTCCTATCTTATTCTAGTCAGTTTTTTTCAGGTCATTTCTTTTTTCATAAAGAGTTTGGGCTTACCGCCCGTTGCTTCGCGCGGGAATTCTCTTTCTTCCAAGTTTTATGAATGGCTTATTCTTGTGTGAAACAGATTACCGTTTCCCAACAGGGCAATAAGTAGAAAATTTCAAAATTTCTACAATTCAAAAATTTTACACTGAAAGTTTTTGAAAGAATTCTGTCGGGTGGTTTTGCAAAAGATTTGCCACAATGTCCCAAAGATAGCTTTTCAGTGAGAAGGCCCGCCCCTATCCCTTTGAAACATATAGACCGTTATTTACGGCCTCCACCTTCTCTTAGTCTGCACCGACCCCTAACTCTCCCGAAGCACCGGCGCATAACTACCATCACCGTATAAGCGTAAGCCGGATTCTTCTCTCTGAGGCGGCGGCGGCGGCGGCGACGGCGACGGTAGACATCGGGCAGCCATCTAGATATCGTCTGCAGCGTGCATTGAACGCAGGGGGAATGCACTGAATGCAGAATGCAGGAGAGGGTACCAACCCCGGTGTTCTCTTGGGGGGCCCCAGGGCTGCAATCGCCACGGTGATCGATCGTACGTGACTGCAGAACTCAGCGCACCTTTCTCCGCAAGGGTCCTTCGCG